AATGGCTGGGCTCCACGCTGAAAGAAATCGCTATTTGTTCAGAGAGGCTCTTGTCGTAACCGCAAGGGCACAAAGAAAAAAAAAATCAACACTTTCGGTTTCTGTACAAAGAGCTCTTTAAGGCTACCAAAGAAATTGCACGGATACAAACTTGTTTGGGTCGGAACGTCACAGAGAGAGAAAGACAATTATGCCGGTCGAAATTCGGCTGTACTAAGGGAGATAAGTCGTGGTTTTCGTTCGCCCCCCCCCCGATATAGCAGTCAGCTTTTCTCAGCTTTGTTAACGAAGTTATCAGGATTCGCACGGGTTCGATTTCTATCTCTGGGTACGATTCGGACTTTTTGACGCATGCAACCAACTGGCCAGATCAACAAGATTCACTAAGCCGTTTCTTTCACATTTTCCTTCGCGATCTCTGATCTGCGGTCCCTGATCTGCGATCTCTCTCGCTCGCTCTCTCTGCCATGTCTGCCGCTTCTCTCGCGTTCCGACGCGTTCTCCGATCCTATCCGATCTGATTTCCGATCTCATCTGCTCAACTCAAGCGTGCAGGCCGCTTATATATAGAGAGGTGGAGCTAAACAGTTTTTAGGCACCGCCCACGAATTTTAATATGCAGATCGCCTGGCCACCATGTGTTTTCCGCCGGATCTCCGAAGCTCCGCGGGAACCCAGTTTTCAAGAGGTACTAAAATCGGATTCGGACTCCCTGCTGAGTTTTCCGCAGACAACGTCCACTTAAACCCATCTAATTAGTACCTTCTTCCCAATCCTTTAGAACCGTTGGTTAATAAACCCACCTGGTGGTGGTGGCGGGAGGGAGTCTCTCTCTCTCTCTGTTACAATTCCCCACTACCCATCTGTCATTTACTATTAAATGACATATGAGGGGTCACACAATATAAAACAGCAATAGAAACAGGGTCGTTCAGCTGTCCTTCCTGGAGGTTCATTGTCCTCCGGCGATCCGGTCTGACTTCAACTGCGAACAATTCTAGAAATAAAAACACGAACAAGAACTGACAAGAAAATACGAAATCGAGATATAGTGTTCTGAGTCCTTTTTTGTTTCTGAAGAGCGTCTTTATAAAGCACATTGTCGTGATTTCACTGAATAAGGTTCATTGTTCAGATTTTCACATGCAAAAAAAATAAAAAATAAAAAAAATAAAATAAATAAATAAAATAAAAATAAGTTGGGCTACTATGAGAATATATATTCTCATTGATCTCACAACAGTTGGTATTTTCATCCAGTTCACTACTTGGGATGCTCCCAGATCTTCACCAACTCATTTATCTCTTCATTCATCTACATATGTATTGTATCTATATAGATTTTTTTTCCCTCAAACACTCATCATTTTTTTCAAAATCAAAAACTCATTTATTTTTCAAAATTGAACACTCATTTTTTTTCAAAATTAAACACTCATTTCTTTTTCAAAATTAAACACTCATTTTTTTTCAACTACATATTTTACTTAGTTATTCCCTTTTATTTTTTTTTTTTTCACAACCTTGTCTTACGACTGGTCCGGGTCTTCACAACAAACCTCGTTAGACTTTTTATGGTTTCCAATTCTTTCACAGCAGCTGTGGGCTGTTCTTCCACATCGGCTGCAGGTTCTAATGCATCTCGGTCTTGGCCGATCTTTGTAAGGCGCACCAATTCGGTTCCCAGTACGCTCTGCACTTTCACTTTCTGCCAGTTCGACTTCCACACTCTACATTCCAACTTGTCTCTTTTTCCACCACCACCAACTCAAAGAAACCATACCTATACTTAATATAATCCCCACAACAATTGGCCAGGTTACTATGGTAAGCATTTTCTCTCTCCATTCCGAGTCTTGCCTACTCAGCCTAGTTAATTCTAACTTCAGTCGTCCGAAATCAATCTTATCAACAGGTTTCAGTAATCCCGGCATTTTCCTTAACGAAAACTGAGGGAACTCTTTCGTAATTGGATCCCATAATTCAGCCCATCCAGTTTCATTTGATCCTACCAATTTCAACAACGCCTCATTCCCTTCGAATCTCTCTTCTGCTTGATAGTAGTGGGGTAGGGACAGGGTCAGCCCGTGTGCACCACAGCCAAGGGGTAAAGCTAAAATGGTCAAGGGTGGGGAATAACTCTCATTGTCGTTGTCACCTCATTCTCGCAGACCTTAGAGAGCTCCATTTCACCCTGAGTGGCCACTGCCCAGATCACGTCTGCAATGCTAACAGCTGCGGGTAACATTACACCAGTCAGTATCTCTACCTGGCAATGGTCTCTAATTCCTTTCTTATTTTTTCTAAATAAGTCTATCACACACAATTCATGGCTACCTGTTAGATAAATGGGACTTGCAGGCGCGCATATTCCCAGAGCATTATTCTCGCGCCTCTGTGCATCTTCCCTTGTCAGTAACATAAATTTTGTCCTGGTTATGTTTAGAGCGAGGAATTCTGTCTCTACTTTGTACCTAGCCACTGCCTCTAACCTTGGGGTTGGTTTTGGATAAGGAAGGAGCAGCCTTAGTTCCTCTACTCTGCACTTGGCACGTTACACATTTCTTTACATAATCTACATCATTAAACAACTTGGGTCAATAGTAGTTCCTCATTATCAACCCATACGTCTTGTCAATCCCCATGTGTCCAAAGTCCCAACTTTCTATGGCACTGATCTAAAATCTCAGACCTTAACTTTTTGGGGGTATTTCTTGCCTTTACCCTAGACCTAATGGCTGTTATGTCACTATCCCCTTGACTTTGTCTAACAATATCTATTCAGTGGATATCCGTAATGGTCTCTGTTTCACCCGCTTCCTGATCTTCCCAATTAGGTTTTCCTTCTAACCCGTGTGAGTTAATTACATTAATCTGGAAGGCCTTATCGTCCACACCTGGCTCTAACAATGGACTCCGTTTCCAACTGTTTCGGAATCCTCGATAGCAGATCAGCACAGGTGTTATCACTCCCGGCTAAGTACTCTATTTTACAGTTGTACCCACAGCTTCAGTGCCCACTGTTGGATCTTTTTGTTCGTCCACTCTGCCTCTAACAGGTATTTGAGGGGCTGGTGGTCTGTCTTAATGGTAAATACTGCCCCACTCAGATAATAGTCCAACACAGCGTACAGGATGGCGAACGCCTCCTTCTCTATCATCGGCCATCTTTGTTGGGTCTCAGAAAGCCGATGAGAAAGGAAATAGATTGGTACCTCTTCAGGCACCGCTGGCACGGGTCCATCCTTATCGGGACAGGGTTGCGTGAGTACTGCTCCGATGCACCTATCACTAGCATCAGTATACAGCACTATGGGCTTACCTAAGTCTGGGTACGCTAACAAGGGAACAGCTGGTCCTTTAAAGCCTCAAATGCACGCTGGCAATCCTCCGTCCACCTAAACCTGGTGTATTTCTTCGTCAGGGCTCTCAGAGGACCCGCCAACCGGCTAAATGCGGGTATGAACCTCCTTTAATATCCTATGGCTACTATAAAGCCCCTAGTCTCCCTTACAGTTTTCGGCGCGGGCATGGCCCTTATTACCTCTACCTTGTCTTTATTCCGTCTTTATTTATATCACGAACCCTCTTAGAAACTGACATTTTGACAGCTTCAGCTTCAAGCCATGCCTCCTTAGGCGGTCGAACACCCGTTGCAGGTGTTCAAAATGCTTCTCAGGTGATTTTGAAAATACCATGATATCATCTAGATATGCCATGGCAAAAGTCTCCGTACCATTCAACACTATGGACATGAGCTGACACACCCGGGGCATTTGCCGACCCAAACGGCATAACCCTAAAAGACCCATGTGACAGGTGAACGCGGTCTTTTCTTGGTCCTCCTTGTTCAGGGCCACCTGCCAATAACCCGATCTCAAATCCAAGGTGGAAAACACTTAGATTTACCTAGGAGAATCAAAATGTCATCAATCAGGGGGAGAGACACTGCTAGCGGTTTTGTAATCGCGTTCAGCTGGCGAAAATCCACACAAAACCTGTGCCATCCATCTTTCTTTTCCACTATCACTATAGGGAAGATCTAGGGAGATTTGGATCTCTCAATTATCCCCGAGTCCATCATCTCATTCACTGCCTCCTCTACTAATTTCCTTTTGTGGATTGGGGTTCTATATGGCCTTAATTTGATAGGTGGAGGGGTGGTCACCAGTGTCTATCCTCATTTCCACTGTCTCTGTCTGTCCTAGCTCCTTATCTGTCATTGCTATTACCTCCCGGTTTCTACTTAGCAAACCCCTTAATTCTCTTCTATAACATTCAGGGACTGTTATGTCCCCGTCCCTCAATTCGCTAATCTCTGTCTTGTTCCCGGACCTATTTTCGTTTCTTATCCTCACCTGTTCGACTTCTCTTACGGGGCAAGCCCGTGCTAACTCTTCTCCTAGCTTTATTCTGATGGTTTTATTAGCCGAATAAGTCAGAAGCAGGGCTACGGTCCTTGATCCTTTCACTAGGGAACTACATACTGTCACTTCTCTCTCATTATTATCATACCCGTCTGTGGCGATTACCTGATACAACCCGTCATTCAGGGCTCCCTTTACTATAATTTTGCCTTCCCCAGATACAGTGGTTCTAGGGGACAACTTTATATCTGACTGGGCTACTATAGGTAGCTGCTCATAATTGTCTTCCCCTAGCAGTATCCCTACCCCGTCCAAGGTCAGGGTCTTATGCTGTTTAAGTCATTCACTCTCTAGAACCAACTCGCCACACAAGTCAGGCACTACATATACCTTTATGACACCTCTAGTCCTTGCTAATTGAAATGGCAGCCATGTCATACCCTCTATACAGATTCTGCTGCTATCAGCCTGGCTTATGGATAAATCTACTAGCCTCAACTTTTCCCTTCTCCCTAACTGTCTATGGGTCTTGGAACTAACCAGTGATACTGATGCTCCAGTACCAACCAGGGCCCAAACCTTTTTGCCTCCAAGCAAGACATTGCAGGTGAAATCTGGCCCCTCTTTTAGCAAATGGTACACTCGGGTCTTCCTTCCATTCCCAAATTCCTTTCTATTTGCCTCCCCTCTGGACTACGGAGAAGCGGTGGCCAGCAACGGGGGTTCCTTATTTCTTCGAGGACCCATTTCTCGTCTGGGTGCCCCTCTGGCTGGGATGGAGTTTGGATGATAGCGCCTTTCCGCTCTACCCCTCTGTTCCTCAGGTTCATTTTTATCCCGACCAGTTCGTCCAGTTCCTTCCCTTGTGGGGGACAGGTTCGCCTCATGTGGTCTGCACCCCCACAATGCCAGCATCTTCTCCGCTGAGAATCGGCCGAAAAATGACCAACCACTCCACACGTCCAACATTTCAGAGGTCTTGCTCGGACTAGGACCATCCTGCCTCCTACTCCTTCACGGGTGACCCAGCGGCGTTTCCCTGGCTCTTTGCTTTCCTGGTGTGTGGCAACAGCGCATTAGTCCGCTTGATACCTAATTTACGGTCCCCTGCCACCGTACACCACCCAGCCTTGTGCCCGTATTCGCCACAGGTCGTACAATTGGGTCCCAGAGACCTGGGGTTTCCTCCCCAATTGGTTGGACAATCCCGAGCCCTGTGCCCAGCGTATTTACACGTCCAGCACACTATCCCATACCGGCCTGGCGTGAATTTATAGAACCAATACAGCAAGTCCCATTCTCGTTTATTCGGCTCTGCCTCCAATTCCCAATTTTCCTCTACTTCTTCTTCTGGGTCCCGTGCCCGAACCTGCTCCTTCTCTTTCCTTATCTTGGTCCTCCTGGGGTCCCTGGCTACGCTACACTTTATTCTGTCCCAAAGTCGTTCACTGTTGCGAGCTGCTTCAATGGCCGCGGCCAGGGTGCTCAGTCCTTCCTTCAGAACGTCACCCCGCAGTTCAACGCATCCATATATGCGTCGGCTAACAGAGCTTTTATCGGACCACTGTTTCGGGTCGCCGGCTCCGGGGACGCCAGTGCCGCTAAGCCCGCTATTCTCTCGCCCAGATCCTCCATCGCTTCCCTAACTTCTTAACTGCCTCAATGGCCTTGCGCTAACTGGCGTACTGTCGGACCAGGGCAGACTTCAGCTCTGTCCAAGTTAGGCAGAGTTCTCCTATATAGCCCTCCGACATATTTGAACACTGGGCCGGCCGCTGCTTCGTATGCCAGCAGGACCATCTCCTGGTCTGACAAGCTATATATGACTTATTTCTTTTGTATCGACAGTATTCATTCCTGCTGCTCCGTTGGGTCTCCCCTAAACAAGGGCAGTCTCATGCCTCCGATCATTGTGTAATCCCATCGTAATTTCGGGGACTCCCACCTCTCCCTGGTCATCTGTGAACTGAAGGAACCACCACTATCCGCCACGTTGTGAATTTTTGATCCGAACAGCAGTATTTCGATCCCTCAGAATGATTCGGAGGTAGGATGAATTAAATGGCTGGGCTCCACGCAGAAAGAAATCGCTCTTGTCGTAACCGCAAGGGCACAAAGAAAAAAAAAGCAACACTTTCGGTTCCCTTTAAGGCTACTGTTTTTATATCACTACCAACGAAATTGGACTGTCTTAACGAGATTCACTCGTTTGGGTCGGAACGTCACAGAGAAAGAAAGACACAATTATGTCGGTCGAAATTCGGCTGTACGCCAACTCCGATATAGCAGTCGGCTTTTCTCAGCTTTGTTGACGAAGTTATCAGAATTCGCACGGGTTCGATTTCTATCTCGGGGTACGATTCGGACTTTTTGACGCATGCAACCAACTGGCCAGATCAGCAAGATTCACTAAGCAGTTTTTTTAATATTTTCCTTCGCGTTCTCTGATCTGCGATCCCTGATCTGCGATCTCTCTCGCTCTCTCTCTCTTTCTGCCGCGCCTGCCGCTTCTCTCGCGTTTCGACGTGTTCTCCAATTCTATCCGATCTCATCTCCGATCTCATCTGCTCAAGCATGCAGGCCGCTTATATAGAGAGAAGTGGAGCTAAACAGTTTTTAGGCACCGCCCACGAATTTTAATATGCAGATCGCCTGGCCACCATGTGTTTTCCGCCGGATCTCCGAAGCCCGGCGGGAACCCAGTTTTCAAGAGGTACTAAAATCGGATTCGGACTCCCTGCTGGGTTTTCCGCAGACAACGTCCACTTAAGCCCGGTGAAAAGCACATGTCGTCTGAGGGCTCTGGCTGGATTTCGCCCGGCAGACCACCCAAAATCCAATTCACCATTTATCACAAGCTTTACCTAACGAACCCGTCCATTAATTACTCTGAAATTAATTCACCTAGTTAATTAATAATTCAATCCCAGAAACAATAAGTAAAAAGAAAAACTTATTTCTGGAATTACTCCGGAATCCCTTCTATCCAACTAATTAGTACCTTCTTTCCAATCCTTTAGAACCGTTGATTAATAAACCCATCTAGCTGCACAAAGGATTGGGACAAAACATTATGGTTCTGGTATTCTTATCAAAGCATTCGAATATTTTGCTACATCTCAGTGATAATATAACAGACTTCAGGGTGATTTTAAGTTGCCCAATATGAGAATATTATCAATTTTGACATCAAAAGTCAAAATTAGATAATTTTAATTTTCTTCATGATATTTTTAGTAAAATTTCTGAATATCAGAAAAGTGTATTCTTTTAATTGATGAAGTGTATATCAAAATTGCTCTGCAACATCATAAAATAAATTTATTTGGTTTGACTGAAAATTCCACCATTTAAACATTTTGCCATGATGCCCAATACGGGCATCATGGCAAAATGTTTAAATGGTGGACCAAAAATTTTACTTAAAATGATTCCAGTTGCAAAATTAGTTGCTACTTTTTATAGGAAAAAGTTTTATATATTGTTGATGTAATCAAACGATTAAATGGTCAAGTAATTGTAGCTGTGTGTGACAACAACAGGGCCCATTAATCTTTTTTAAAAAAATTTGACAGTTTTTAGTAATACTTGGTGAAAGAATGGCTTGTACTTACTTTTTCATTATTTCCACCTTTTAAAAAATATTCGGAATACCTGGTTCACTGAACCTATTTCTGAATTATTTTATTCTGAAGACAAAAAGATGACAGCAAAATAGGAAATTGTAAAAGGTCTTTTTGAATAAGAAAACTCAATTTCTTAAGCTGTCGAAACTAACTAATGTAAGCAGTTTACCCAAAACATGTTGATCGACAAAATGTTTCCATTGTATAATAGTTTTTGTGATATTAAAACACACTCATTATTAAATGGGGAGGATACTGCAGAAACACTTAATTTCTTTGAAAATGTCTTAAAATTTTGAAGCATTTTCTCTGTCAAAGAAATATATGCTGACACTAAGAAAAATGATATCAGTGAAATAAGCATAGAAAGAAAGTCTCGATGTTATTGAAGAACTATAACTTTATTAGGCGGAAAACAAGGCTTTAACAAAGTTATTTGTCCGCTGTCCTGACTGTGCCATCTCGCCATGTTTACCAGTCACCTCGTTGCCCATCATATCGAGATATTAGTTGTATGCTGTAGAGAGATACCAAGTAATACGAAACTAACAGTGCGTATACAGGAAAGATACAATAGTATCTTTACAATAGTTCTTTACAATAGTTCTTTACAATAGTAGCTTTACAATAGTTCTCACTCACTTATTTAGTTTCGTGGGTATTGTCTTGAACACTGAGTTACAGGAGCTATAGTACTCCATTCTTAGGGGTGGTGTATGAGTTAAGAATCTAAAGAAATAGGAAAGTGTACGTAAAATGTTAGTAGTAAAGATATTGGGTATCCTTTGGGGGTTTCATTTTTCAAGCTCTTCTAGAAGTAGGATATTTAAATTTCTTTGAGTCTTGTATCTCAGCAGTAGGTTCTGTTTCTTTAGATGGATTGATGGTCACCTCAGGTGTTGGCTTCATCCCTTCATTGTTTATGTCCCCAATGCTGATCAGGGACGGTTGAGTTTCTGGAAATGGTTGAATAACTAGCCGGGGCCAAATGGCAAATAGAGACAGTAGATTCTTTACCATCTGGCAAGCGGACATATGCATTCTAACAGTTCCACTTCGTCCAGAAGAGGATAGTATTTTGAATGGCGCACATTTCTCATCATGAGTACTTTTTCTGGAGTTGAAAGCCAGGTAGTAATGGTGATGCCTGAAGTAGACTTCCTATTGAAAGTAAAGATCCTCTCGTGTTTGTTGCGGTGCACAGAATCTGATTGAATACAGAACTTCGGGTAGTACCTGTTCCCACTGACTGATTGAAAGATAACATGATCTAAGATTCAAAGTGGTAGCCTTCCATAGAAATCCGTTTAGTCGATCCAGCAGCCCATCCCCACCCCCTTATAAGGGGTAGTTCTACTCGTAGCGATTCCTCTACTGTGAAAGAACTGTTTGAGTTCCTCTGACATGAAATAGGAACCCCTGTCCGAGTGCATAAACACAAGCATGCCAAAAAGAGAGAAAAGGAAAAGGTCCAACAAACATTCGATGATGGTCGAAGCTGGCATGTCGGAGCAAGCATAAGCAAAGGGAAAGCGAGAATGCTCATCGATGACAGTGAGTATCTAATTGTTTTTTTACACTCGAACGCAGTTAAAATATATACTAAGCCTCTCAAAAGGTTGGTTGCATTGACCAGTGTCCCATGAGAAGCCCGATAGAATTTAGGCTTTAGTTCAGCGCACTGAGAAGTCACTATCTTAACATCATCTAGCGAAAAAGGTAGGTTCCTTGATCTCACAAAGTGTATCATCCGGGTTACTCCTGGAGGACATAGAATGCGATCTAGTTCAGGTAAGTTCGGAGCAATACTGCATTCTTTATAAGATATCTGCTCCTGCATTGGTCGGTATACAATGTCGTATTTAAATGACGATAACTCCAGCCTCCAACGTTGGATCTTTTCTTTTTTAACCTTTCCCTTATACTGACCATCGAACGTAAACCCGTCGGATCTCTGATCCTTGATGAGTTTGAAATGATTCCCCAGTAATTAGTGTGTTCATTTCGTTAGTACTTCCACAATTGTATAAGCCTCCTTTTCATTTGGGGAATGGTGCTTCTTATTTGACGAAAGCGTTCTTGAGAAGAAGGCTACTGCCCTTCCGATATGGTTAAGAGTAGCAGCAATAGCAGCATCAGAAGCATCTGTCTCAACAACTAAGGTCAAAAGTTATCAAAACCGCAGTCAAGTTGAGTGTCTTCTACATTATTTTGGTAGGGGAAATATCCTGTTGTGTATGAGTGGGTAGGCTTTCTTTGAAAATGTTGATATCCATTGAGAGTAGTAAGCGAACATTCCCAACACTTGTTGAGTTGAGGTCACAGGGTGGTGCCATTTCTTTTAGGGTTTCTAATCTTTCAGGGTCAAGTTTAACTTTTCCCTTTGAGATTTCGAATCCTAGCAACTGGATAACGGTTACTGAAAAGATGCTTTTGTCATCGTTGAACATTATACCATATTTTTTGGCCGCTTGGAGGAAATTTTGAGATTCTTATCATGTTCGTCCTCGTCCTTACCACACACAGTGATATTATCGACAGAAGAGAAGGTATTGATAAATTTTTCAGTGTCAATAATATCATCAATGACTCTCTGAAAACAAGCTACTCCATTTGTTACTCCGAATGGCACCCGACAAAATTGGTAAAGATTGCCACATACCTCAAAGGCAGAGTTTTCTTCCTTCTTGATGGGAATTTGGTGATATGCACTCTGCAGATCTAATGTACTGTAATGTTCATATTTTGATATCTTTTTAACTATTTCGTCTACTCTCTTTTTGTGATAAGCATTTAATTAAGTGCATTTATTGATTGTCAGGTTGTAATCTATCACCATTCTTTTTTATGACATTCATTGTTAGCAATGATTACCTGGACCCTCCAAGGTGATTGGGAACGTTCGATGACTTTTTCTCGTAGAAGTCGTTGCAATCCGATGCCAAGTTCTGATATAGCGTAGGTTTTACTACTTCAGCGGCAGCTAGATTACACACAGAAAATGGGACTCAAGTGCCGTTGAAGGAAA